GTTAGCCCTTGAACTACCACCCCTCTCTGGGTATCTTCATGAACAGCCAGAGGTCCCGAGTTTACCAGCAGGTCACGGATCTGTTCATTGTAGACCTTTGAAAGAGAATTTAAAATCTCTTAATAAAACTATCCTACCATACTCGACAAGAATAAACTTAACTAACCAGAACTCATCAGTCTTTATTAATACTTCTTTAAGACAAAGTAACATACTAGTTCTGTAGAATTTTTGCATAACAGCTTTCTTATACTGAGCTTGATTTTTTCAATTAATTCAATTTGCATGAATTTTTTTAGTCATTGAAGTGGGAGTCACTCTTGCCTAGTAAATAAACTTTATTCTTTATTAAATAATAAAATTGTACTGATTTTACAAATAAACTTTTGCAGCAAGCATGAATACAAAGCACTTATTGTCCCCTATTACACTTCATAATCCATACTTCAGTGAGATTTCTTAATCCAAATGTACTTCTATTACAATTCTCAAATACCTTATTTTGTGGTCTGTGGAAGCACTTGAAATAGCAAACGGTAAAGCAAATTGTTCGCTCCTCCTTCTCCTCCCCAAATACTAACTACTCTTCCCTTAAGACTTTGAAGGGGTGGAAGGTAGAAAATATACTACTACCGCTTGGCAGCGGTGCCAAGACAGCTACTTGTAAAAATAGAACTGTGATGGAAAAAAATTGAAGAGACAAGAGGAGAAGGTGACACCAAAGAACAAAAGGAATATATAGAGAGAGCTAACAATTGGCATAGCAGCTCTAATTCAAGTAGTTTTACTGTAGCTCAGGTAAATAAAATAAACTGAAAACTTTAAAAAACATCATCAAAAAGGTATTAGATATAATTTTGTTGTACACTTTAACAGTGCTTATAGGATTTACTGTGAAGTCCTGAAATACATCCCTGAAAAAATATGATACACCTCAACAGATGTTCAGAGGGATGCAACTCATCAGCAAGACAGGTATCATTAGAATATTTAGTGAATATATTAGAAGATATTGTCCTTTTTGGGCAGCCTTCTGTAAAATAGTAACAGATGCCTATGAATAAACACCAAACTTGTGGAGCATGGTTCAGTTCCATTCCTATCAGGGACACATTTTGTAAAGTCTCAGAAAGGGCTGGGGGGAGGCATAACCAGCTTATCTTTATTAAAATATGCCTTATTACGAGCAACATACCAAATACAGGAACAGGCTTACCTCTAAATAAGAGACAGCAACATTGCATATTTTATCTTCTTTCATTTGATCCATGCAATTATAAAGTGCCATCATGGTTAAATACATCACTCCAGGATCTTCAGGGGAACCTAACATTGTATGAGTCTTTCCAGCTCCTGTTGCACCATATGCAAGCACTGAATTTTCATAAAAAAACCAACAAAGCAAAAAGATGCACTTTACATCAGTGAGCCAATCAGGAATGCAAAAGTCAAATGGACATTCACACACCTCTGTCATTCCGCACTGCTGTTTTCATAGACTGATCAAGTTTTTTTACTTAGGCTCTACTTTTTACAACTATAATCAGAAAGCTATTTAAAAATCACATGAACTCATTTTCCAAATAACATAGAGCTATCCTAATTTCTGCAGGCTAAAAACTCAGCCTCTCATATTAACAAATTAAATCAAAATTCTTTATTTCGATCTCAGCCTTTTCTAAGGCTTCTGCAGCACTTGGAAACAATGGTAGAAATCTTGATGAATTTAGTCAAATTTTTGAATTTAAGAATATAAATAGCAAAGTTACCTGTGCAGTTGTATCCATTTAAGAAGCCATCAATTAAACATTTTGTAGTATGCTCAAAAACTTCCAACTGGGATGAACTTTCAGCAAAAACAGCATCAAATACGAATTTAAGATCTTTCTTTGCTCTTTTATTAATATCCCTGTGGGCCAGTCTCTTCCCGTGAAAGAAGCTAACTTCTTCTTCCTTTGGATCAAAGACCAGTATGTGCTGATCAACAACATGAACAACTTTGCTAAAGTTGCCATCTTTTTCTTTTTGAGACTCTGGACGGACTCGGACCACCACTTTCACATGATTGCAGACATCATCTTCCTTAGCAGCAGACATAACAACGTCCCTTGTGTCCCCCTTTGCTTCCAAGACTCTTTCAGATCAAACAGCTGAACCTTTTCTGCAATTGACAAAAAAAAAGTGAAAATATTTATTTTTCAAATATAACCTTTCAAGTAGCTCACACCTTAAATCGGGACTAACATCTTGCACCTGTGCTGGCTCTGCCCAGCATGTTGGTTAGGCCCGCTGCAATGGTCACACAACATCGGAAAGCACTGTAACTAGCCTGAAAAGGTGACCTAGTTCAGTATAGTTTTAAGAAAACTGAGCTTGGAAACTTATTTCAACAATTTAAAAGAGTATTTCATCTACCCGCTTTCCTTTTATTTCAAAGCAAGCTTGCAGGTGAGCTACCAGGTTTCTGTGGACCAAAGGGGGTGGTTTTCTTGTCCTTCAGCAACACGCCAAGCAGCCGCCTACCTGCTTCCTCTGGGTTATTGGTTTAGTCCCATTTCAGGTAGGTTTACAGAGACAGTTAAATTGGAATTCACGTTAACATAATTTACGCAGGATACAGAAACACGTTCCATGAATGTCAGGCCAGCTTGCTTTTTAACAGGCCCTCCTTGCTGACAACGGAAGGTTCCTCACTCCTCACAGGAGACAGAGACCCTCACGGTAAAGGCTCTCGGTGACACTTTTTCAGTTTTGGGGCAAGCTCGCTCTCTTTCAGCCCAGCCACGACACGGCCACGGAACAACGCGTAAGAACACCCAGAGAGCGGCCAGTGGGGGGCCGCGGCCCAGACCCGCCCGGCCCTCTCAACCGACTCCTCACCCCGCCACAGGGAGATCTGCCCCGGGACCCGCCGCCAGGCTCAACCCCGTACCACAGGCGAGGCTACGGCAGA